TATCGGAAAAGTAACTGTCGAATTTTACAAATAAACACTAATCAAGAAAATTGAATAAAATTCTAGTAAAAACACAACAACAAAAATAAAAAATTATCAGAAAAAGTAATGGATTATGGAAGAACCTTTCGTCCTGCAATTGAGCCTTTGTCAGTGCTCGTTGCATTGTTCGCTGTGGGCACCAAGCAATACGAAAACTTTTCTACATTTAATTAGGGTTGAATATGGTGTACTTATTAAAATTATATTTCAATAATCCATTTTATATTATGATAAATTAGTAATTCAATAAATAGTTTAGTAGTAAGGTGTACTTAGTTAATTTTACGGTTTGTTTAACAACACTCTTAAAAAATCATCTATGTTTTTTTTTATTAGTTGATTTTAAGTTTTAAATAAATTTAATAAGTCGGCCTCTATTTGTTTATATGTTGACGCGGTTTATTAATTTGAAATATAGTCAATTTTTGTAATAACCAAAAATTTGGTGAAAACAAAAGTTTCTAATTTTGCAAAATGTTTTGAAGGTCAGGAAACAAGATGTAAATCACAAACATGCAAACTAAAAGGGACCCTGTTCTTTGTTGATGGAATTAATAGAAATAATAACACCGAAGAACACAAATGAAATTATAAACCAACGTCATTATAGATGATCAAAAGTCACAAGTTTGGTAGCTCCCACGTCACTTAATTAAAAATAATAATTTAAAGATCTTGGACTTTTAACTCTTGACCAAATTGATTTTGAATATAATATTCACATTCTAACATGTAATGATTACGAAAACCATATAAGATGCTATGCAGAAGAGAGAAATGGTTTGTGAGAATGGGAGCTTAGTAAGAGCATCCACAGTGGGGGTGTAAATTCGGGGGTGTAAAGCTACTTTTACATCCTCTTTACACCTCCGGAGGGTGTAAATATATTTTTTGCTCCAATGGGGAGATGTAAATTCGGGGGTGTAACCGTGGGTCCCAGTCTTTTATGTTGACTTTTCTTCATTTTTATTCTCTTTTCTTGAGTGGATCCCGCCTGCAAGGGATGTAAAAATGGATGTAAATATACATTTTTTTTTTACATCCTCATGGTGGTGATGTATATTTACATCCATTTACATCTCATCATTGGAGACGATTCCGGTAACTCAGGGTGTATATTTAACATACACTCTCATATACACCCCCTACTGTGGATGCTCTAAAGATTACGAGATGCCATTCCCATATTGAGTATGAACAGAAGATGACAGACTTTTTACACCATATAGGAAGTTCATGAAGAGGAGAGAAATTTGATTGAATGTAGTCAAAACCACATGACTGTTTGTGCGTGAAATTTGTTCCGAGTCTTTCTGTTTCTGTCTATGCTCTTTAAACACTTGCATAATAGCTGCTTATTCATTGACAACATTCATTTGTTACGTACATTAAAAAAAATGTAATTAAAAAAAGTGTTATTAAATGAATCCTAAAATTAACTGATAATACCTTATGATCTAAGTACACCTTAATATTTTAATTAAAATGTAAAATTAACTAAGTACACCTTATTTAACTACCAAAAATACCCATGATACACCCTAATACATTCTATCACACACCACCTTAATACCAATCCTAAATCAGGTTAATGAGCCCCTTGACTTTGCCATTCTCGTTATTGGGAATACATTTCTTACAATTATTTATGACCAAAATTGCTTTCTTTATAAATTATATTATTTATGACCAAAACTGTTCAAAGTATGGATTAATTTTTAAGAAAATGTTAAGGAGACCAATTTGGAATACCAACTTTTGTACCAACTCTCTAATAGAGCGTGTGATCCATTGTATTGGTGGGCTCCACCTCTATTAGAGAGTTAGTACATAAGTTGATATCCCAAATTAGTCTCCCTAGCATGACCCTAATTTTTAACGTCTAAAATTCATCTTGAGATACTCAGCGACTATTACTTTACGATCATTGGTTGCATCTAGAATTTCAGCCATGCCATTATTCACATTACCATTTATATTTGTTGTCATTTTACTTTTATTTATTTTTATATTACTCCATTTACTTAAGTTTACAATGTAAATAAGAAAGTACCCCATCGCCCTTGTATTTCTAACATTTCTGTTCATATTATTGGATATTTTTTTTCCTTTTTCAACGTCTTGAAAAACTATCCAGCACAGTCCCTATCCTCAAGTCAAGATCAAGAATGACCTTTTCTTTGTCTTGTTTCGTGTTTTGTCGAGAACATGAGACGCTTTTTTTTTTTGTTACAAGTTACTCATTTGGATTCAAATAAAAATACTAGAAAATCAAAATATGAAAAATTGGTTTTAGTGCAAAATACGATTTAGGCTAAAAATGATGGCTCATTAAGTCAATATATACTTTATACTAAAATCAAATCAAAATATGAAAAATTGGTTTTAGTGCAAAATACGATTTAGGCTACAAATGATGGCTCATTAAGTCAATATATACTTTATACTAAAATCCCATAAAATCAAGTTTTCTTATTTGATGTGTGAGGAATTTAACCATAATCAAATCAAATGTTATGTAAGACTAGGATAAACTTGTTTAAAGGTTTCATGTGAAGGGACTTGTTGACCAATGACCAGTACTCATTCTTGCACACAAGGACACTCTTTCTCTCTCTCTCTCTTCCCATCTTGTCCTTTTGGTCTAATTTTCAAAGCCTCCATTCACACTTAACATGCGGTTGGGGGTTGCATTTACTAGCTGTGAAACTAATAAAAAAAGATTGATGATTTGCCCATGTTGGTAGATTTATATATATTTAATGTGGGTTTTGATTTTGGCATTTTGGTTGGTAAGCTTTTGCTGAACGCTAGACTTTAGATGCCGTGTTGAAGCTTCTCTTAAAACTTTAAACCAGGGGCTGCGCGTTCTTTCTGTAGCTTCAGAGGTCATTTTGGGTGTCAATGAAATAAATGGGCTGCTCGCATACTTCCTCGTACGTGGGAATTGGTGAACTCTAGGAGTCAAGGACAGAGTTTTGTGCAATCAGACTAAGATCAGTAAAGCAAGGTGCTTTTTTTCTTTTCTTTCCCAGAATTCAATTATCATCTTTTATCATTGCCTTTTTTTTTCTTCTGTTTGAGCTTGGTTTGTTGGATTTGCAATATATCATTTTGAAACTTTTTGTCTGGGGTCTTGTGAATGAAATGAGAATATCTCTGATTTTGATTTTTCTTGGGTTCTAATGAAGAATGATAAATGGGGATGGTTTAACATATTTAGTTTCCTTATCTGAAATCTAGGTTGTTAGAAGTAGTTTGATTTATGCAAAAAATGAAAAACACAGTTGATTTTTCATTGATGCTGGTTATTTTTGGGAGAAAAACAGAAAATAAAGGGAAGGCATGAGTTACTTTCTGAGTTAAGGTATTTGGGCTTTCCTTAACTTTTGATTAAGTTACCGAGTAGAGTAGGGAAAAACTTGGTCACTTGTTACATATCTAATCTTCTTGGGCACTTGCAAAAAACCTGTATTAGGAAGGAAAACTGGCAGTTGTAAAAAGTTTTAATTTTTAATTTGAGCTTTGTGTGATATCTGTTGATCATAAAAGTGGTCACATTCGCAGAATTGGAGAGGGACATTTTGAGTGTTTGCTACATTATGAAGTGTTTTCTTATCTTGACTTTTGATGGTTTTGAATTGTTGCTTATTATGGCTCCCTAATTCTAGGGCTCTCTTCAGCTTCTGAATCTTAGGTGAGGATCATAACACTTAACAACGTTGGGAGCTATGAAGTGCTTCTCATTCTACATTGGAGAAAAAAAGGATGAACCGAAGAGCACAAATACAACATTTACTGATGGTGAAATGAAGAGATCTGGATCTGAGTTAGATTCCCAGAATATCTCTGATGCGAGCACAGAGAAAAATCATCTATGTTTTTTTTTATTAGTTGATTTTAAGTTTTAAATAAATTTAATAAGTCAGCCTCTATTTGTTTATATGTTGACGCGGTTTATTAATTTGAAACATAGTCAATTTTTGTAATGACCAAAAATTTGGTGAAAACAAAAGTTTCTAATTTTGCAAAATGTTTTGAAGGTCAGGAAACAAGATGTAAATCACAAACATGCAAACTAAAAGGGACCCTGTTCTTTGTTGATGGAATTAATAGAAATAATAACACCGAAGAACACAAATGAAATTATAAACCAACGTCATTATAGATGATCAAAAGTCACAAGTTTGGTAGCTCCCACGTCACTTAATTAAAAATAATAATTTAAAGATCTTGGACTTTTAACTCTTGACCAAATTGATTTTGAATAAAATATTCACATTCTAACATGTAATGATTACGAAAACCATATAAGATGCTATGCAGAAGAGAGAAATGGTTTGTGAGAATGGGAGCTTAGTAAAGATTACGAGATGCCATTCCCATATTGAGTATGAACACTAGAGAAGATGAGAGACTTTTTACACCATATAGGATGTTCATGAAGAGGAGAGAAATTTGAAACCCGTGCCATGAGCCCCTTGACTTTGTCATTCTCGTTATTGGGAATACATTTCTTACAATTATTTATGACCAAAATTGCTTTCTTTATAAATTATTTATGACCAAAACTGTTCAAAGTATCGATTAGGAAAATGCTAGGGAGACCAACTTATGTACTAACTCTCTAATAGAGCGTGAGACCCATTATATTGGTGGGTTCCACCTCTATAAGAGAGTTGATACACAAGTAGGTATCCCAAATTGATTTCCCTAACATGACCCTAATTTTTAACGTCTAAAATTCATCTTGAGATGCTCAGCGTGTGCATCGCCCTTGTCTTTCTAACATTCCTATTCACATTATTGGATATTTTTTTTCTTTTTTCAACGTCTTGAAAAACTATCCAGCACAGTCCCTATCCTCAAGTCAAGATGAAGAATGACCTTTTCTTTGTCTTGTTTCGTGTTTTGTCGAGAACATGAGACGCTACAACTTGCAAGTTGCAAGAGCATGAGACGTTTGATTTGTTCATGGTTGCAGTTAAACGCAAAGACAGCACCATCAAAAAACCCATTAACCATAATCAAATCAAATGTTATGTAAGACTAGGATAAACTTGTTTAAAGGTTTCATGTGAAGGGACTTGTTGACCAATGACCAGTACTCATTCTTGCACACAAGGACACTCTTTCTCTCTCTCTCTCTCTCTCTTCCCATCTTGTGCTTTTGGTCTAATTTTCAAAGCCTCCATTCACACTTAACATGCGGTTGGGGGTTACATTTACTAGCTGTGAAACTAATAAAAAAAGATTGATGATTTGCCCATGTTGGTAGATTTATATGTATTTAAAGTGGGTTTTGATTTTGGCATTTTGGTTGGTAAGCTTTTGCTGAACGCTAGACTTTAGATGCCGTGTTGAAGCTTCTCTTAAAACTTTAAACCAGGGGCTGCGCGTTCTTTCTGTAGCTTCAGAGGTCATTTTGGGTGTCAATGAAATAAATGGGCTGCTCGCATACTTCCTCGTACGTGGGAATTGGTGAACTCTAGGAGTCAAGGACAGAGTTTTGTGCAATCAGACTAAGATCAGTAAAGCAAGGTGCTTTTTTTCTTTTCTTTCCCAGAATTCAATTATCATCTTTTATCATTGCCTTTTTTTTTCTTCTGTTTGAGCTTGGTTTGTTGGATTTGCAATATATCATTTTGAAACTTTTTGTCTGGGGTCTTGTGAATGAAATGAGAATATCTCTGATTTTGATTTTTCTTGGGTTCTAATGAAGAATGATAAATGGGGATGGTTTAACATATTTAGTTTCCTTATCTGAAATCTAGGTTGTTAGAAGTAGTTTGATTTATGCAAAAAATGAAAAACACAGTTGATTTTTCATTGATGCTGGTTATTTTTGGGAGAAAAACAGAAAATAAAGGGAAGGCATGAGTTACTTTCTGAGTTAAGGTATTTGGGCTTTCCTTAACTTTTGATTAAGTTACCGAGTAGAGTAGGGAAAAACTTGGTCACTTGTTACATATCTAATCTTCTTGGGCACTTGCAAAAAACCTGTATTAGGAAGGAAAACTGGCAGTTGTAAAAAGTTTTAATTTTTAATTTGAGCTTTGTGTGATATCTGTTGATCATAAAAGTGGTCACATTCGCAGAATTGGAGAGGGACATTTTGAGTGTTTGCTACATTATGAAGTGTTTTCTTATCTTGACTTTTGATGGTTTTGAATTGTTGCTTATTATGGCTCCCTAATTCTAGGGCTCTCTTCAGCTTCTGAATCTTAGGTGAGGATCATAACACTTAACAACGTTGGGAGCTATGAAGTGCTTCTCATTCTACATTGGAGAAAAAAAGGATGAACCGAAGAGCACAAATACAACATTTACTGATGGTGAAATGAAGAGATCTGGATCTGAGTTAGATTCCCAGAATATCTCTGATGCGAGCACAGAGTCCATGAGGAGGAACCAATATCCTAGTTTCTCTCAGAGACCCAGCAACCTCAGAATATTCACAGTTTCTGAGCTGAAATCTGCCACAAAGAACTTCAGCCGCTCTGTCATGGTTGGAGAAGGTGGGTTTGGGTGTGTCTATAAAGGGGTGATTAAGAGTGCAGAAGATCCATCTCAAAAACTTGAAGTTGCAGTGAAACAGCTCAGTAAAAGAGGCTTGCAGGCAAGTTTCTATTGGCAAAACATTAGACTGATTCTTTTTCATTGCCCATGTTAAACTGTTTTGTGATTTATTTGTTGTCTTCAAATGAATTAAGATTAGTGGATGATAATTATGAGATTTATACTAAAGGAAGTACAGTGTTCCTCATTAAGTTTGATAAAGAAATAAAAAATCCTAATGGCTCACAATGATATACACATGATAATGATGCATTCACACAAGGAATTTGCTTTTTTATTTGTTCTGATGATTATTAGCACACAGGGTCTTTCGTTTGACCGTTTACAAATACTTGCTTCTTTCTAACAACATATTTATGTACTTAATGGTAATAGACTTTGTTTTATGCTTGTCACGAAGAGTATTGATCTAACAGATATTTAGTCTAATAAGATGCATTTTCCATTTATGTCAAAAAAATGAAATCCATCTACTGTATGCTTGTAAACTTACAATCCCACCTTTTTGGTACCAGGGGCATAAGGAATGGGTGACAGAAGTTAATGTTCTTGGGGTGGTTGAGCATCCAAACCTTGTCAAACTAGTGGGCTACTGTGCTGAGGATGATGAACGAGGAATCCAGAGACTTCTAATTTATGAATACATGCCTAATGGAAGTGTAGAGAACCATTTATCCAGTCGTTCAGATCCTCTTCCATGGCCCATGAGATTGAAAATAGCTCAGGATGCTGCTCGTGGCCTGGCATATTTACATGAAGAAATGGATTTTCAGGTACTTTAATATTTGTTTTCCTTTTCAATATGTGTAAGTCCCTTTTGATGCATTTGATATTCTCATGTGTTTGAGGCTGCCCTGAAGTGTTAGAACCCCAACCAAAAAGCAAAAACCTTAAAAAGAAAAGGAGAGTAGGAGGGAGGGGAGAGGGCCTAAGTTTTGTGAGTAATACAACTTATCAAACTGACATTTTTCTTTATTTTTGTCTAGATCATTTTCAGGGATTTTAAATCTTCAAATATCCTTCTGGATGAGCAGTGGAATGCAAAGCTATCAGACTTTGGAATGGCTAGGTTGGGCCCATCGGAAGGATTAACCCACGTCTCAACAGCGGTATGATCATCATACAAAATTATCTAATTATTTATACTTACATCTATTGCATGAACCAGTATCAACTTTTAGTCTTGAAGCTTGTTTTGTGACTTAGTTTTTGGTTCATTGTTTATGATCTTATTAAAGCAAGATAACTACATCTGAAACAAGTTGCTTAGTATAATCAAGAGTATCCACATTGAGAAAGTGTCGGTAAAGTTAATAGATGTGTGGAGTTTAGTATTGAGAACTTGAACCTAGATTTCTTCTGCTACTTCCCTAGATTTGCAATGGCTGAGCTATCAGTGAAAGTTTTTAATGTGAAATTTAGTCACCATGGATCTGATGAACGGAAATTATTACTTTGTTAGACATTTGGATGCTCTATGGATATTGAATTAGCCTATTGTGTTTACTTTAGATCCAAGATGAATTTATTGTGCTTTTGCTAGTATTAAAGATGAGTGGAGTTGTCTCTAATAGTAATTGTAATATGAGCACATTGAATTTCTTTAATAATTTTATTATTGCTTGTGCTTAGGCCTGCATCTGATTAGTTTTCCCTTTAAGTGGATAGGTCTTGCATTTATTGGCTACTTCTACTTAAATTTTAGGATGTCTTGATTCATCCTTGGAGTTTTGGTGGGAAGAAAACAAGCTCATTTCAAGTAAAATGGACAGCTTAGCAGAGCCTAGGCCCTATAGTTATGACTGCTTTTATCTTGTTTGGATACCCAATTCTTTAGGCTTTTTTCACCATTGATGAAAGAGTAATGCAGTAACGGTTTATAATGGTCCAGCTATGTACTACACTCTTGCACTTACATGACTAGTGATTTTTCATCAGGTTGTTGGAACCATGGGATATGCAGCACCAGAGTATATCCAGACCGGACGTCTAACAGCTAAGAATGACGTGTGGAGCTATGGGGTCTTCCTTTATGAACTCATCACAGGTAGGCGTCCTCTAGATCGAAACCGCCCTAAGAGTGAGCAGAAGCTCTTAGAATGGGTGAAGCCATACCTGTCCGACTTGAAGAAGTTCCGCCTAATAATAGACCCTAGGCTTGAAGCTAAATACCCCCTCAAGTCAGTTCAAAAGCTTGCAATTGTAGCCAACAGATGCTTGGTCAGGCTCCCCAAGAATCGTCCAAAGATGAGTGAGGTATTGGAAATGGTAAATCAAATTATAGAGGCACCACCATCAGGCCTAAAGAAAATTAGGGACGTATCGTCAGGCCAAAAGAAAATTAGGGAGGTATCATCAAACCAAAAGAAAAATATGGAGGCACCAACAGGAACAGCAAGTCCGCAACTGCCCCTGAAGAATTTGGCACCGATACAAACTTCCCGGGATGTGGAAACAGTGAACAAGAGAAGAAATGCGGATTTAAGGAGAGGAGAAACTGGCTGGTTGTCTCGCGTGTGGACACCGAAACTTTTAAGGACATGCTGATTGTAAGTACATTTTAGCAAACTGGTCATAGAAGTTGTTGGGTTTATCTGAAGCATAAATTATGGTTTGACATGGAAAACACAGAAAAACTTCTGCATAAATAACTTAATTTGTAAATACCACCCCCCTCACTTTCCAATTCTTCTATGCAATATGTATAAATCTGCTCAAATTTTCAGTCTTCTGTGGAAAGTTTTAGAGACATTAAACAAGAATGTAACAGATAAAGGACGGATTTCTCTCCACTTCAAAGTTGTGAGTCCTGTTTACAAGAAGCTTCAGAGCAGATTCTAATTGTAGTGGCCTCAGGCATGGAGGGACAACTTAGTTTTTTTGGTACCTGGAGAAGCCTATATATGAGATATTGAGTTTTATTAGTAAATCGTTGTAATCAGTACTGTCAACTGTGTTGTTAAACCTCTTTTCTCAAACTTTGCATTCTTTAATTTTTAGAGTGCGCTTAAGCTGTGGAAGCTTTTACACATTTGAGTATTTATTTATGAAAATCATTGGATGATATTTTTGCTTGGATGAGGATTTGAACTTTGAGACATATATATACAGAGAGCTTCCCTTGAGGGAACCCTCAAATAAACTTATTTGAGGGACACCCCTTGTAGGGCCCACTTCGGATTGTATTTCACTAATCCAAATTGTCTATTTTGTAGATACTCATTCAAAGATCATCTCTACAAAAAATCACTTGAATCCGATATCATTTGACCACTCAATTGTGTTATTGAAATTTGAGTACTTTCTTGAAGCATCGTGTTCATTGATTTTGTAGAACACAATTGGATGTCGAAATAGTTTCCGATTTGTCTAATTTTTTGTAAGGACTATGAATGAATACCTAAAAAATAGATGGTTTTGATCGTTGGAAAAATAAAATAAAATTATAGGGTACCTTAAAGGGCATCCCTCAAATAAAATTATTTGAGATCCCTCAATAGAAGGGGACTGTATATATACATATATATATTCCAAAGTCTACATAGGAGAATTTCTGTATATATATTATGGAAATCACTCGGAAAAGTAGAATAATTATAGAATTGTAATTTGTTGTTTTTTAGAAAAAAAAATCATGTTACTCAACTTGTTCATCAATATTCCCGAGGACCCGTAATCGTAACTCAAGTGTTTTTTATTTAACTAAAAAGACAAACTTGGGGTTATAAAACGATTGAATCATAAACCTAATCATTCAATTATTGATATACGTTTGGACCTTTCATTTGCTTGTTACGTATACCCAAAGTCAATGCATGTAGATAAATCCAGAAGTAGATGACACCATGTCAACTTGAATGGTACAAAAGAGCATAAAGAATTAGGCTTCTTAGATCTAGGTCCAAAACGATTAGCTGTCATTGGGTCTAATCCTCGCGTTTTGGTTTTAGATGTAGGTCCTTTGACATTTATTACTTTTTTGTTGTGTCGATTTTACCATTTAAGGTAAATAAGGAAAACACATTGAAAATCTAAATGACAAGACCCGACCCAAATTCCACTTTGGAATCCGAGCCGAACCCTGTACGTGCCCGACACCTGGCGGGTGCCAGACACAATTGACCTTACTGCCCTTCTAGTCAAAATTTCAACTAAAACTGGGGTTTGACTTCTGCCGAAAATTCGGCAGAGTATGAATTATGCGTATTTGGTTTAATAGATCAACTCAATGTAATTTACAATATTTTCCAAAATGCTTGAAGAAAAGTTGTTTGGCAAACTGACATTCAAAATTCTGAATCTGAATATGTGAAGAAGCTTAAAAGTCAAAAAGAGATTTTACATGGTTGGTTGGCAACAAAAGTTTACATAGATATCTAAAGTTATAAAAGTCGTTCTTGATTCTTCTTTTTGGCGTAAAAAGTTCACCAAAGAGTTGAGAAAAACCACAAAGGCAGAATTGCCGACCTATACCATAGTACCAAGTACCAACCAAGCACTTTTCAACTTTGAAGTAGGGTTAAAAAGCTAATTAGTGTAATTCTTTTAGAATAATTAGCTTGAGCTTCTCCCTCTCTGGTTTATGAACCTATAGTCAATTGGTGAAGCAAAAACAAAACGCAAAAATGTTCCATATTGTACTCGGATAATTATTATTAAGTGTTGTGAGAGCATGTGTTACATGAGTAATCTATTGAGATATTATATTGAAACATGAACATTTAATCCGAAGCCAATTAGTTATGGGTGAAGAGACTCAATAGTTTTTAAACTATTAAGCTAAATTTTCATGAATCAAATGTGAGGTACTCTCATCGTTGTTCTCAGCAATACGAGTTTTGTCTAGTACCATTTTCCACCAAGAGAGGGTTTATATGTAATTAAGCCTAAACATTTTAAAAGACATCAACATAGTATGACTTCATACTTCGATTTAATCGGATCAAATTGTTATTATTATTATTATTATTATTATTATAAAGGCAACTTACAGCTTGCACACTGTTTTCACATGCATGTGCAACGAGTTTTTATTTTTTTAAGGAAATTTTCTAGTGAGAGCGGCTATAGTATATAAATTTACACACACGCCATTTAATCTGTTATTTAATTAGATTTTCCCTTTTTTTCTATATCCCTTAAGGATATCCCACTCGGCAGCATATAAATTGACTTGCTTAGAAGCATATAATAATTAAAACAGATAAAAGCGCTAAATCAAGCTGTTAACACTCTGATCAATGAATAACTTATTCAGGATCAAATAATAAGAATAAATTGCATAAAACCATTTATAAAACAAAAGTCCACTCACAGATACTCTGAGCTAGCTGGACCCTTTTGAAGGTCCCTCCTGCGGGTCACCTGGTGCCCGGGTGCCTGAATAACCACCACAATTTTTATTAATAACTCTGCTCAGGAAAATAATATTAAATTAAAAACCCTGACCCCCGGCTCCTAAAGTGCGTGCATCACTTTAAAAATTATTCCTATGCCCACATTAGCTTTTCCTCTCAGTGGACATGCTTTAGAAGTATCTCGGGACTCAAAAGCGATAAAGTCCCTAAAAGTCAACTCGGGACCCTACCAAATCCCTTCAATCACATCCGTTCGATCTAACAAGCATTCAATTCAGTCCAATCTCAACCGTCCATTTTCCACCTCCTCATAGAAGGGCAATCAATATCATGCCAACCTATCAAATAAGAATATTAATATCCTGCCGAATTATGAATTTTTTTGTTTTGAATGGTTGACATTGGGAGATACAAAAATCGAACACATGACATGACTTCGGATACAAAAACAATTACTTTAACAATTTGAATTACAATTTATAAATTCGTCGTCAATTAAATTATAATTTTTGTCACTATAATGTGAGCGGAAATTCTGCTTGATTACATGTAGTTTCAACTTTCTCAACTTTCTCAACTTTCACTTGTAATTCATTACTTGTCATAAGTCTAAGATAATCTTTTAATTCCGTCAAATTTTTTTAAGAAATTGGCATGTAAAAAGTAAGTAAGAGTCGTGTAAAACTTTTACTCCACACATGTTGAGGGAGAATCGAACTTGGTGCAAGAGGACGAATTCTCTGACCTAACTAACAAATATTATCGAATTGGAAGAAAGGTAAAATTGTAAAAACTAAAATTAAAGATATAAAATGATTAAAAAAGAGTGCTGCTAAACGAACCCTAAAATTAACTGAGTACACCCTACAATCAAAGTATTTATTGAATTTACTAATTTACCCTATTAGAAAATGACCAAAAAGAGATTTTTTTTTTTTTTTGGGTGGGGGACTGCTTTAGAAGATTAACATCACGTCTTCATTTCATGTGATTTTGTTTCGGCTTTTTGGGAGACTAGTCCATGGTGGAGGCTTTTACAAAATAGTGTCGACCTGAATTTTAAATGTTGGCTTGTGCAACTATTTAGTGACTCATTTAAAGAGTTTGTAGAACAAGTTTTGATGACTCATTTAAATGTTGGCTTGTGGGCAATCTAGAATGAGATAGGAATTCTGTTTTATGGACAGGCATACGACATGGGATGTTGGAAGTGGTTAATTGTGCTATGCAGGTCTTGTAACAATTCCAGGAGCACAACTTTCCTAAGGGTGTTGTGCTAGCTCGTGCAACATTAAAATGGGGTAGAGCCCTCGTGGGTTTTTTAAAACTCAATTTTGATGGGGCTTTTCGCGAACAAACTGGGTTTGCTGCTTTCAAGAGGGTTTTACTGCTTCTTGGTTTATGATTTTAGTTTTATTAGTTAGATATGCAAACCTAAATTTGAAAAGAGGGCACGAATTCATGTAAAAAGAGAAATTTGGTTTATGATTGGCATTTAGGATGTTGTGTGATAGAGTGTATTAGGGTGCACCATGGGTATTTTTGGTAATTAAATAGGGTGTACTTAGTTAATTTTACATTTTAATTAAAATATTATGGTGTATTTAAATCATAGAGTGTACTCAGTTAATTTTAGGGTTCGTTTAGCAGCACTTTTAAAAAAACTTTGCTCAAATATAAGGACTAAAATCATAATTTAGTCAATTTTTTGGACGGGAGGCAATCAGAAACCGTTCCAGGAATTGCCGCTTAAATATAGTATATAAATTTACACACACTACACGAATACTAGAACTCGAACCCATAACCTTTTATGAAGAAGCAATTGTTCCAAACCAACAGTTCATTAGCTTGACAATTTTATTCAACAATTTAATGAGAGAATCCTTGGTGCTTGCTAGTGCCATGGACGTGTCATTGTTATCCTTTATTTTTTATAAATAAAGTCATTGTTATCCTTTTTGCTAGTACTACTAATAATATTTGATGAATTTCGATAGCATTAACGTTTGCGTCACTCTGAAATTTTAATATTAAAAATAAATTATTAATTATAGACACTACGACTGTGACACGTCCCCACCGGCCCCCATGTGTGGACCTTTGGTCGTTAATTGAATCTTAAGCTTTCTGGTAATTGAAAAGGCCTCTCTTTTTCATATAAGCAAAGCAGCCCCGTATGGACTCATGGACCTTCTGGCTTGAGAAGAGAGCAGCCAGATTTGTACCAAATCCCTTCAATCACATCCGTTCGATCTAACAAGCATTCAATTCAGTCCAATCTCAACCGTCCATTTTCCACCTCCTCATAGAAGGGCAATCAATATCATGCCAACCTATCAAATAAGAATATTAATATCCTGCCGAATTATGAATTTTTTTGTTTTGAATGGTTGACATTGGGAGATACAAAAATCGAACACATGACATGACTTCGGATACAAAAACAATTACTTTAACAATTTGAATTACAATTTATAAATTCGTCGTCAATTAAATTATAATTTTTGTCACTATAATGTGAGCGGAAATTCTGCTTGATTACATGTAGTTTCAACTTTCTCAACTTTCTCAACTTTCACTTGTAATTCATTACTTGTCATAAGTCTAAGATAATCTTTTAATTCCGTCAAATTTTTTTAAGAAATTGGCATGTAAAAAGTAAGTAAGAGTCGTGTAAAACTTTTACTCAACACATATTGAGGGAGAATAGAACTTGGTGCAAGAGGACGAATTCTCTGACCTAAATAACAAATATTATCGAATTGGAAGAAAGGTAAAATTGTAAAAACTAAAATTAAAGATATAAAATGATTAAAAAAGAGTGCTGCTAAACGAACCCTAAAATTAACTGAGTACACCCTACAATCAAAGTATTTATTGAATTTACTAATTTACCCTATTAGAAAATGACCAAAAAGGAGAGAGAGAGAGAGAGAGAGAGAGAGAGAGAGAGAGAGAGAGAGAGAGAGAGAGAGAGAGAGAGAGAGAGAGAGAGAGAGAGAGAGAGAGAGAGAGAGAGAGAGAGAGAGAGAGAGAGAGAGAGAGAGAGAGAGAGAGAGAGAGAGAGAGAGAGAGAGAGAGAGAGAGAGAGAGAGAGAGAGAGAGAGAGAGAGAGAGAGAGAGAGAGAGAGAGAGAGAGAGAGAGAGAGAGAGAGAGAGAGAGAGAGAGAGAGAGAGAGAGAGAGAGAGAGAGAGAGAGAGAGAGAGAGAGAGAGAGAGAGAGAGAGAGAGAGAGAGAGAGAGAGAGAGAGAGAGAGAGAGAGAGAGAGAGAGAGAGAGAGAGAGAGAGAGAGAGAGAGAGAGAGAGAGAGAGAGAGAGAGTATGTTGATGATGAATAGCATGGAGAGTGGTGTAGTTCAAGACGGTGTGGTTTTTAATATTATGATTTTGATAAAGGATATGCATGTAGCAGTTGTGTTGTTCAGATGGCTTGTTGTGTTGTTGTGGGGTGAACCGATTTCGTTTAGATTGGAGAAAGAAAAAAAGATATAGGTCTAGTTTCTTATAAATAAAAATAGATATAGGTCTAGTCTTGAAATGAAATGGAATCAATTTGACTCATCAAGCAAAATCTGATGTTGGGTTGAATATATAGTAATATGAATGTTATGGAGAGTAATTGTAGTTCGTTTTGGATATTATTTAAATAAATTTCTTTGTTTGCAAAGTCGATCTTTTAGTTTTCGTATGTATATCAAGGGTCCTATGAAATTTTATTTGAAGTAAAGATTAAATGTTGTGCTAGTTAAAGTTTTACTTCATTTTTTGGATTTTTTCCCATAAACATGTGAGGTGAAAGGTTAAGCATTAGGTGTTTTTACCTATCCGAGTTAACGTTGATTCTTATTTCTTTGCTGGGAGTTATGTGTTTGTTGTCATGCAGCTAGTTTAATATTGGGAAAGTAGGCTGCTTTAGGTCGTTATCTCTCTGTGTGATATTTTATTCAGAAATACTGAGAATGTGTGAGCACGCGTTGTTAGGTTAACAGGTTTGTCTGTCACTTTATGATGTTTTGAGGATAATCAAAGTCTCCAGCCGGTCATTCTAGACCAGCAATTATCTGTTTTTTCCTGGTTTTTTGACGGTGGGTTGAAGTCTTTTGCTGATCTCAGCACAATTTTAGTATACATGGGACTGTTTATTAAAGTTAATAATAAACATACTTGGAACTTAGCAAAGTTTGTAATTATGATCACACAGCAGGCATCATTTTCACAAATATGTTTATTATATCCTCTGTTAGATGTCCAATCAATTGCAGCTAAATCTTCTATTGTATACTTGTCCAGTATTATTTGAAAAAGTCAACTGCTTTATTATAATAAGGATTTATGTTAAAATTGGAAGCACTATACTTAATTTAATAAAAATTATTTCTTGCTGTGATTTAATTTAGATTTGCGCAGATGGATATTCTGATTTAAATTACAGTTATGGGTAAAGAACCTCAAAGCATTGGAGGTTTTTAAATTTTTTTTTTAACATACTTGGTAGCTTTTGGGCAGAGATTACTCTATTACCTGAACTTCTTGGGGATTCCGTCATTGCTCTTAGAAGAAGATTAAGCTTTCTTATTCGACATATGCATATTTAAGGAGATGGCTTCCCATGAGCATGATTCAGATATTATTCAGTGGGGGCTTCGTCTACTTGATGGTGATCCAGTTTATAATTCTTCATACTACTACAGTGACATGATACAACACAATGCTAATGATATCTACCACGAAGAGTATTTCAGAAGTCATTATGATACAGAATCAAACCATGTGGAGAATGATGAGATCATTGCACGAACTCTTCAAGAGGAATTTTCAGGACTATCTGTAACAGAAGCCTCTGAATACTCACATGCAGGAGAAGCGCAAGCACAAGCATCCGTTCTTGCAGATGAGTGGCATGGTGTATCTACAAGGAATTATTGTTCGGGTATCTGGAAACCTGCTGCTTTACCTTCTTTTCATACATATTAAGGTAACCTATGTCATGTAGTTATCTTCATAGGCCTTTTTTTTTTGGCACCATGCAGACCATGATTATGGCCAGGAAGAAGCTTCTAGTTTATGTTCTAGCCCTGGTAATCATTTGGGGCTAACTGATGAATGTGCACTTGATGGTGAAGTAGACTGGAGCTTGAATCCCGTTCCTGTAAGTTTATGCTGTCCAGATTTTTCACCATGTTGTAATATCAAATGCTTCATCATGTTTTTGTTATTAAACAGTTTTAAGGAGTCATCATTGGCCTTTTAGGAAATGTTAGCCATTCTTTATCAATTTATAAAGTTTAGCTGACAATCTGATGTTGAGAAGGGAATGTACATGGGAATTTACATAGATATTTCAATAGCATTTTGGTTGATCATGTGAATTTCCTCCCACCTGCCCACTCCCCCGCCACCCCTACCCAAAAGAAACTTATACATTTTGCAAATTCGTGAGTACTAATTGTATATTTGATTTGCTACTTTTCTGCCAACATATGGCGTGATTTGCAAATGTCGACACCAGTATTAACCTTGTCCTTCATATGGTTTAGCATATTCCCAGAATTAATGGAGAAATTCCTTCATTTGATGAAGCGACTTCAGATCATCAAAGGCTACTTGACAGGTAATACCTGCCCTTTTCCTTTCTATAAATATAGTAGTATGTATTTCAATAATTTGCCTAGTTAGTAAAATCCATTTTATTTGTTTTCTTCATTTTTTGTTGTTGTAATATTTTCTTGCGTTTTCAATGTAGACTGCAGATATATGGCTTCCTCGAACGCAAGGTTGAAGGAGATGGAAACTGCCAGGTTAGTCATGCTGCACCTTTGTCTGTTTCTGTTGTTTATTTCCTTAAAGCAAGTATGTAGCTCTCATTTGGACCTATCAGTTTTGTTTTTATTCCTGGATATTGATCTTAGCATCTTTCAGGGTTACACATGTTTATCTCATATTTTGCTTTAATTTTCCAGTTCCATGCTTTATCAGACCAATTGTATCACACACCTGACAACCACACGTATGTAAGAAGCCAAGTCGTAAATCAGGTTTGCTCTCTTGGAAATATTCTACTAATGCGTTCAACTGAACTTTGGCACCATGAAATTTTGTATCTTCCATGGATTCTGGTTTATCCTTTGATGGTTTACTGTTACCAGCTGAAGTCTCATCCGGAGATTTATGAGGGATATGTTCCCATGGCATATGATGACTATTTGGAGAAGATGTCCAGGTATTAATCGAACTCATAATGTTTCCTTGTTTTCCTGTCATTAATCTTTTGGGCTAAATTAATACCCATCAATCTGAATGAAACCAGGAATGGTGAGTGGGGTGACCATGTCTCATTGCAGGCAGCTGCTGATTCGGTATGAAAGATCTTTTACAATGACTGATACTTGTGAGTAATTAATATAATGACTGATACTTGTGTGTAATTTTTTGCAGTACGGGGTGAAATTTTTTGTCTTGACTTCTTTTAAGGATAACTGTTGCATAGAGATTCTTCCTAATATCCAAACTTCAAAACAAGGTAAGCTTGTTGCGCTCTTAGTTTTTGTTGTGGGCATAGACAGTTGGATTTATGAAGTAATCAGTTATCTGTATGTTAAAATGTGATATAGTTTCTATATCTGTAATTGATTCAGATTTCCATATTCCACATGTTACTGTCTTGTTTCTAAATTCATTTCTCTTATAATGAGCAAATTTATTACTCTCTCATTGAATCCACGCGTTAGCCTAATCATATACTTCTGACAAACGGATCCCGTGGAATTTTTGCTGAACAAATTATTGTGATATCCTTAAATATTAGTTATCTGTCGTCCATTAAGCTTTACAGAAAGCTCTTATGTCTTGTGCAGTTATTTATTTGAGTTTCTGGGCAGAGGTGCATTACAACTCAATTTATCCTCAAGGAGGTAATTGTTTTATCTTCTTCATGTACATCTGTAGAATGCAAAGGGATAAGGAGTAAAATGAAACTTGGATTTTGGATAACTTGTTCAGCTGAACTCAACCAGTTGGAGCAATAACACTGTATCATTAGCCAACAGTCTTTGACTGAACATAAACTGACAGTCTACTTTCCTTTGGGGTGTGCGTGTGTGATACCATCTATAAGATTGGGAGGGGGAAGTCGCAACACCATAATAGGCTCTTTATCTGATCTGAGAACTTTCAAGTGTGATTTTCCGTAAAGAATCTTTTGTGGGAAATCAGATGCAACTAGCTTCCACTAGCCCTTGCTATATTGACTTGTTATATATCTGAGTCTGGATAGGTTTAGTTGTCTGACGCTAATACCATCATGCATGCTTTAGGATTTTACATTATCCCTCTAAATGTAACGCATGACTTATGGTTTTGGTTTTATTTCAGGTTCGCTCTCAAGTGAGTGCAAAAAGAAGAAAAAGTGGCGGATATTTGGGAAATAAACATTAGGAATGTTTGGATGGCATTAGGCACATTTCTCCTCCTGTTGTTGCTGATGTTGCTTAAACCATGTAGATTTGTGGTTCAGGACCTGCTCAGATCTCATATTTTTGCTCTTCCAATGTTCGTCCAGGCTGGATTATCTCATTGTAAGAGTAAGTTAGTTTCTTTTTCCATTTTTTCGTTTCTAAATTTCTATTATTACGGTTGCTTGCATGTGTGAATTTTGTAGTCGCATGCTAGTACCATCTGATATTTTTAGAGCAACCCAGTTACAATATGATAATGAATTTATACATTTTCAGAAAACAGAGTTGAAAGGGTTTCATTGAATCTTCTTCGGCCTTCAGCTTATTGTTTTCTTCACGAGTAGCTTGGCCGGTTCAGTAGATTTGGAATGTACAAAGATATGTCAAACAATTGAAATGAATTCTTTCCCAAAAAAAATAATAGATACTCGAAATGAATGTATCAATATCATGGAAAGTATTCCATAGTACAGGTATGCTTTTATAGGAACACAAAAGTGAAATATATGCTTCATGGTCTATGCAAAAATTGTGTATAATTGGCAGGTGTCATAAACGGAAAGCACAATTATTTTGCGGAAATATTGTAACGCTGTATATTGACATATAGTATATGGTTAAATTCAGGATTTTTGTTGGAGATATAGAGATGGGAACTAAGGTTTTGATAACCTTTCAATCATTTATCTCGTACAGTTGATTCGTTTGTTTGGTCAATAGTGAAATATATGCACTTGCTTGAGTACGCATACAGAGATTTGAAGCATACAAATTGTTCTAGGCCATCGTTGAAACTGGTTGATGAATAACTTTTCTTTGTATGGATTGTTTTCTGAATGTTTTGCTTACCACAGCAGAAGTGAGAATGATTGGACCAAAGTAATTCCTGTTGAATCAATCTATTGCGAATGCCGCGGTTCTTTGTTTCCAATGATACTCTGCTTTTATTAATAATCATACCCACATTTCTACAGTTTCATCCTCTTTAGTTTCCCTGTTTAAACGTATGATTGTAGAATTAAATGCGACAAATCTTCAATGAATTGCCGCCGGTGAGTTCCTACTAAATCGGAAAGCTCCGCCATTGATTATGTCATTTTTGTGCTTCATAATAAAGCATGTACTTGCTTCTTGGCCATTGTTGAAGTATACGTTTCAGTGCAGAGTGGTGAAGTATACTTGCTTGGTCATTGAAGTGCACATTTGAATACAGGGCAATGCAGAGTATTAGGAACAGCTCAAAAGATTTATCAACCATTTGCTTCTGGTTTCAATGGCAACCAAGCCAACAGTTCAGGTTTCATTGTAGCTTAGAATAAAAGCGCTTCTCTGCTTCTTGGCAACAGCACAAGAAGAAGAGAGATTATCTGCTTTTTGGTTTCTCATCATCCCTGAGGTTGGTTTACAAGATTAGACTTGAGACATACAACTTGGTACCCTTTCCAGTTTGATTTTAAATTGTTGGAAAGCTCTCAGCGTGCTTCAATGAATTTTATAAAGCACAACAATGGTGGGTCCAAATCCAACCATGGTCCACCTCTCCTTCCTCCTCCATGAGTGAGAAGTCTCAAAAGTACACAAATTCATCCAAATTTTTAAGCCAAAACAGACTCTCATTTTAAAATTTGATTTGATGAAGTCAAAAGTACACAAATTCATCCAAATTTTTAAGCCAAAACACTCTCATTTTATTAAATTTGATTTGATGATGCCTTGAAGAAGAACATTTACAGATTAAAGAGCCAAACTCTAAAGCCCCAATCTTTCCTCCCCCATTCTAGACCAAGACTGCTTGCTACTTACTACACAGAAGAAACCATTGATGAACAACATCATATTTTAAAGAAAGGCAGGGCCTTTGTCTAAACTACCCAAAACCTATTCTCTCTTCTCTTCTTCTTAACTTAAAACCCCAAAACACACACAACACTCACATACCTTACACCTTTTGTACCCAACCAACCCCACCCTCTATTGCTTGCTTCCTATTTGCTTTATCTACTTTGATATACACACACACCCCACTCATTTTCTTTATCTATCCATCCCCAAGACACAAAGCCTCCTCCTGCTGCCCATCCTCCTCCTCATTCTCCGCCGGATGCAGCAGCAACGACGTGAACGGCATGTGCTGCCGGTACTCGGTGTAGTCCAACCCCGCCGGCTGGCATAAGTCCAGCCGAATGCTCGGCTGCTGATGCGGCTGATGCGGCTGATTCGGGTGAGCCTGATGAGCCGACGACACCAGCGG